CTTAAAATAACCTTTAATGAAAAAGAATGTGAAAACAAATATATGTATGTATATGCATGACAGGGACATGATGCTGTACAGCAGAAATTGACACATTGTAACCAACTATACTTCAATTAAAAAAAAAGACTTAATAGGGCTTTACATAGTTAAAAAAAAAAGCTGTATGTTAGAAACATGATGACCTAGCTCAGCTTTGTCTTTCTAGCGTAATTACCTTTCTTCTGAATACTCTGCACTCTTAACTATTTCTCTTGGTCTCAACACACAGGCCACATGGTGATGATAGTTGATGGTGAAAATTAGGAGCTTAACATGGGGTCAGTGGGTCAGTGAACCCCATAAAATCATATGCAGAGTTTATGTGTATTTGCTTATGTTCTTTGTGCCAAAGAGAGGTTTCCCCAGATTTCATCAACTTTTCAGAGGTGTTTGTGAGCCCCCGAACAGTTAAAAACACCATCTTAAATAGTAACTTCCTCCCACAGCCTTTGAGATTTTTTTCTTTGATCCTTGATATAGTGTCTTTTTCTTTTCAGCCATCTTTTTGTGTCCTGTTTGTCTTGGATTAAAACATTGTAAGGAATAAAATTAAATTCATTAATAATATTAGTCATCACCCAGAGATCACTGCTGTTTACACGCTGGTAAATAGTTAACTACCGATCACCTGTCTACCTATTTATCTGTAAATCATCTATCTGTCTATCCCTCCCCCTCACACATTAAAGGAATCATTCTTTAAAAAAAAATTCACATTAACATTTTTAAAAACTCTTAAAAATTTTTTTTTTGTTTGGGAGGTAGTTAGGCTTTTTATTTATTTATTGACTTATATGGAGGTACTGGGGATTGAACCCAGGACCTTGTGCATGCTAGGCACACACTCTACCCCTGAGCTGTACCCTCCACATAAAGGAATCATTCTATGTGAACTCTTCACTTTGCTAAATGTAGCTCAATAACATTCTTGTTTAATTACTGCACAGTAGTCCCTGGTATGGATACATTGTCCTTTATTTAACCAATCTCCTGTCGATGGACACATACTTATTTTAACAGGGACTTGGAGCTTTTGCTCGTCCCAAGGGCTGTCCTGCTTTGTCTTACTTTCCAAGCCCCAGATCAAAGTTTAGGCTCTGGACTTCGGGTTAGAGAACCTGGTTGCTTTCCAAAAGAAAGGAGAACTATCCTCTTATACGCTTTAAAAAACTTTTTTATTGACTTTTTTAATATGTATTTTCTTTTCAGATTCTTTTCCATTATATGTTATTACAAGAAATTGAATAGAGTTCCCTGTGCTGTACAGTAGGCCTTTGTTGTTTATCTCTTTTATATACAGTAGTGTGGATCTGTTACTCCCCTACCCCTAATTTATCCCTCCCTGCCCTTTCCCCTTTGGTAACCATAGTTTGTTTTCTATGTCTGAGTCCTCTCACACCCATACTTACAACCTTTAAAGTAGTGACGTGAATCGGCAAGTCATTTCAAATCAATAAAGAATAGTTTAGAGGATCAGTGGACTTCAAAACAGCGTCATTTAAATCCATTCTCAATTTTCAAGGTTCCAGTGGGCCTAATGGTGGATTGTTTACCTTATATGTAAGAAATGTTGATGACAGTTATTGTGGGGAAGAACTGAATGATGCTATTAAAACTGAATAGTGCGAAAACACTTGAGTCATGTAGCTTGGGAGGGACTTTACCACATGTGCATCAGCATGATTTCCCTCTGTCTGTGTGTCTGTCTGTATTTCCCTCTGTGTTGCTGAAAGAGGTGTTGCTGGTTGTCTTGTTTCATTTCTCTTTTATCCATTTACCAAGGACACCTCCAGATGAGAAGGCGGCACCAGCCAACACCCTTGGGTCCAGGAAAGTCCCTGTTCCCATCTGGCTACATGTGATAAATGGGTCTTATGTCATAGTATCAATCACATTTTGCTGTTCAATCAGCTGAGACTCTCCCATTAAAAACATTTACTCTCTCTACAAAAATCAGCCCCCAGTGTTTTGGGAAAGGAGCAGTCCTTTCACAGTTACTCCCCACATCTGTCTGTAGAGGTAAACAATCAAATTACTATACTCACTGAAAGGGTGCAGGCAACTACAAGAAATTGAACCTCACGGATAAAGGATAACCTTACGTAAGGACAGGTAGGTAGGAAGCCACTTTCAGGAAGACAGAAGGCAACCAAGGGAACCCAATCACTTCTTGAGAAAGTCTTTAAGAATGTCCCCCCTTTCCACTGATCCAGCCAACACAACCCCAGAGAGCTCAAGGTGAATTTTCAGCAAAGCCTGGAAAATAAAGTAGGTTGAAAGTAGCCTGCCGAGCCTGACTTGCTGCCACTCACCACTCTCTGGGGACTCCAGCGAATACAGAAAATCAATTTTACTTATTTATTTGCTGAATACATTATTGCCACGAGGAAAACACACAAAAGCTAAATAAATTAATTAGAGTAGCCAAAGTGATGACATGTCATGTAAAAGAAAATGGAAGACTGCTTTTGGAGGAAGGAATCAACCTAAAGAGAAATTTTGGATGCTTTATTTTCCAGGAAATGTTATGTGTACTTTTAAAATGACGGTGTTATATAAAATAGATAAATGACAAGGTCCTACGGTATAGCACAGGGAGCTAGCTATATTCAATGCCTCGTAATAGCCTATAATGAAAAAGAATCTGAAAGGGAATGTGTGTGTGTGTGTGTGTGTGTGTGTGTGTGTATAATATATATACAAAACTGAATCACTATGCTGTACACCTGAAATTAACACAACATTATAAACCGACTAGACTTCAATAAAAAATCAGAAGTTAAAAAAATGGTGGTGTTGACAGTGCATAGGGACATGGCTGAATAGACCGAGGTGAGGTCCCAGTTCACTTATGCTCTGTTCCACCTGCCTTTTGGGATGTTGTCACACGGCCTGCTTTTTGCTGCCGTTGTCACTGGTCTGGTGAACAGCCCAGGGTTTCTGCTCCAATCGGAGCAGCCCGCACTGGCTCCTGCCTGCCACTCGCTTCTTAGGGACCTGAGGCCGCCCGTACGTTTCAGGAATTCCAGTTTGCATCCTGAGCGTGAGCCTCAGCGGAGCTCTCCATGGGAAAGTGGCGACTTCCCTTGGGTGCTTGATCCTACTGAGAAACCCGTCCACAGCACAGACCGTCAGCATCCTTGTTTCCATGGTAAGCCGGCGGCCCCCTAAATCATCACAAACTTAACCCCACCGAGGAGGAGGGAACGACGTCTGGGTGCCTTTTCCCCTGCGGGGACACAGCCCTTTGATGTGAGGTAACGCCCTGCAGAGCTGCTCCTGCTGCTCCGTGGAGGGAGGACCGGGCGCGGGCACAGCACGAGGGTCAGAGCACCGTGTTTCTCGGTTCACCGTGCAAGGACCCGGGGCGGAGAGGAGCTGTTTCCTGTCACTGCACTGCATCATTCTCATTTACATCACTGGCAGCTGTTCCTTTGCTAGAAGTTTAAATTATCCCAAGAACTCCAAACTGAGTTCAGATGTTTGTTTATTGGCGCTGCCTTCGGATTCTGCCTTTTGTGTCCTCCGGGTCTTAAGAAAAGGCTCTTCTGGCAATCGGTCCTTCCTCCCTCCTCGCGCCCCTCGGGGAACCAGCTTTCTCTCATGAAGAAAATTCAATAAAGAGGACGTAGAGGCTCAGACCTGGTCAGAGGGGAGACTCCGGGGTGGGGGAGGCGATTGGAACGGAAAGTAACTGGGACCCGACATCCTGCATTTGTGCTTTGTTTTTGAGACTTGGAGTGAGTTGCGCTAATGAATTAACCAGCAGTCTAGTGATGGAAAATGTGTGTCCCGGCCGGGTGGGGGAGCCAGATACTATAGATTCGGAACAGGAAGGCTGTTGATTCTGGCTTCATTGTTGGGCCAGTCATTTGTGAGCCGGTGGCCGGACCCGCAGGCCACACACTCGTGTGTGAGTCGTCCATGAATCGGAACCGCCCCGGTGTCGTGGCTGGTGTCGGCGCGGCGGCGGAGGGGAGATGGTGAGCCCTGGGCGTCCGCCCCGGGGTGGGGACCCCCTCCGCGCAGGGGATGCTGCGGGACGCCGGGCTCGGCGTGGGGG